GGCTGCCGGGAAGAACGCGCTCGGGGGCGGCGGGGACGGGGCCGTGGTGCGCCGGTCTGCGGGGGGACCCCCGGGGCGTGGCGGTGCGAGCAGGGCCCCGGGACCCGTTTCTCCGTGAGGACTTCCCGCGCCCCTTCTGGCTTACGCCGTTCGAGGCGGGGGCTCGATTAGGGCGGTTTTACAGCCCCTCTGAGATAAACGCGTACGCTGCGCGATTCTTCTTCAGCGATTTCCAAGCAATATGCTCTGCTTAAATTAAGAACAATTTAATAATCTCTAGGTGAATAACCAATTCTTACTGCCGGATTTTCTTCCTACTTAATTGCTCTGGGTTTTCCTTCATGCCGGCATAGTCATTCTTAAGCTGTTTGTAGTTCTGTGTCATCCATTTAACCCTACTTCTGGCAAGGCATTTAACAGAAATGTTAAATGGCCTTGGTCCTTCAGGGTCACCACTTGTTACTTCTCAGTTGTAGCATGATCTTTCTGTTCCAGTGCGTAGCTTGCAGCAGCGCAACTGTGCTTGACTTCCGTTTTTCTGCTGGAAACATAGAAAAAAAAGGTGGAAGATTATTTTTTTCCATTATCCTTTACAATGCATACATTGACCTGAATTTTGCAGTGCCTGGTATCTTACACTTTTCTATTTCCAAGTGGTAATTTTCTTTCTTGACCTGTATTTTCCCTTTATTCTGATTTATCTTTTTTTAAATTTTCATATCTTCTTGAAGTGGTTACAGATTCTGTTACGTTTGGAACCTTCTCTGCTATTTTTGTCATTTCGGACTGTGATTGACAGATAACAACTTCAATGTAAAAAAAAACAGGATGAGGTTTTTGCCTTCTAATTCCAGAGGTCCCCAATCCAGAAGACTTTATTAGCTAATTTCCAATTTATCAACATTTACCCATTTGCATCTAGAACCCTAGCTACAAGCCTATTTCTCTTTATCTGTCTGCTTAATAATTGAATATATCAATTTATGATGCTTCAGTACACATTTACTTTTTACTACAGGTTCTTCTGATCCCACCATCATGGAATTTAACTAATAATGGATATTTATTTTGTATTTTCAGGGTTTAAAAGCATTTGATTACTTTTCTCCTTGGAAAGGAGAGCAACAGATGTACAAGCTGGACATAGGCTGGCCTAAAATTCCAGAATACTTCACTGGTCAAACATTTTGTGTTGCTGTTGACTCTCTTCATGGTTTGGTCTATGTGGGACAAGTGAGTGGGAATACTGTATTTCTCTCCTTGTTGTTCTAACATATTTTTGCCCTTAAAGTGTCTGGTTTAGATTGAGATTATATATGTGTGTGTCTGTGTACGCATGACTAATTATTGTATCAAAATTAGTGAAAATATAAGTATAGATGTTTCTGCTATATCCATTTTTTAAAGCAGTTCTGACACCACACTTTGTGCTTTTAAAAGCGTTAGATTTCTGGGTATGAATGCGTGATCCAACTTAACTGGGTTACAGTAGCTTCTTAACTGTAAGGTAAAATGTGATTCTGGGGCAATCTTCCACTCTTTCAGCCTTTGTCCCATGAAATCAAAACCATGCAGCTTCTTCAGCCAGTTACAGTAACTGGAGTTCAATTATTTACTTTACCCAGTGCCGTGCATTGGTATCTCTAGGTCACGGGTAAGACATTCTCTCTGTGGAAAGTGGTGGGGTTTAATTGTCAAGCACAGTGTGAATACTTGAGTGCCATGCAGCTAATAACTACAGGTGCAGTTTTTCATGCCTGTGTTACTTATGGCATACTTTCCAGCACAAACATGAAAACACAGTTTAAAATGAAGACCAAGATAGCTGCAGGAGCTTGGCTGCTCTGAAAATTGGATTCTGTATGGTTTAAGTTGAAACTCTGAAGTGGAAAGCTTTATATGCTAAATTTAGACCCTTGTCTCTCTAGCTATCTGGAAAAAATGAAATCTAGCAGACAGTCTCAGGAGATTCTTATCATTCATGAAATGTTTCAAAAACCTTACAAAGAGGGATTTTCAAAACTGTGATTACTTAATGTGTTTTCTTAATAGACCTTTTTTGTCTTTTCAGAGGGGAGACAATGTGCCAAAGGTACTTGTATTCTCAGAGGAAGGATATTTTCTTTACTCCTGGAATAATACAGTTGAAATGCCTCATGGTATCTTTGTATTGAACACTGCAACAGATAGTTCAGTATGGATCACAGATGTTGGAACAGGTATGCATGGTGCCAATACGAGAAGTATCAGGTGGGGAAGAAAATGCTAATATTGCAGATACTACTTTAAACAACTAATTTATTTCTCTCAAACAATTCTGAGACAGATTTGTGCTTTTCTTGCCATGAACAGACTTCTCAGGTGCTGCACAGAATACTCTGACAGTTCATGACTTGTGCTGTGTGTCTGCTTATAGCTTCTGAACTTAGTAAGCACTCTACACCCCATTCCTCCCTCAAGGAGAAGTACCAGGAAAAAAAATAATCTTCTGGCTAGACTTATTGTCTGTCCTAGGTTTGGTTACCCTAATACGATGGATAAATATTGTTGTAGCCTAGGGATTTACTAACCCGCAGTCATATTCTCACTATAGAATTTTGTCTGTTCAATTTATTACTATTACTTGTGAGCATCAGGAGATTTCTAATCCTTGTAATCAGTTGTAATACTTACATTTTGGTTTAAGATTTTTTGTTCTTTTTTTCTCAATGCAGGGAAATATGGGCACACAGTGAAACAGTACAGCCCTTCAGGTAAACTTATGCAGATCTTGGGCACGCCAGGTAATGCTGGTTCAAGTTTGATTCCTCTACAGTTTGATCAACCAGCAGAGATCTTTGTAGAGGAAAGTGGAGATATCTATGTTGTGGATGGAGACGGAGGAATGAATAACAGATTGCTCAAACTATCCAACGGTATGGAAAAGTGAACTTCTGCAGTAGCTGACCATTGAAAATTGAATTTTAAATAACGCAACTTGAGAATACTTTTAAGTGAGGACTAGGTAGAGCTGTCATTTAACTTTAATTTGAAGACTTTGTTGAATCAGATCCTGGTTTATTACTTGTCACTTCAGGAGAATTTTCTTAATCTTTTATGACACGGCTGAGAGAATTAGTTTGTTCAGTCTTTAAGAGAGAGGGCTGGCGGGGAGTCTTATTGCTGTCTTCAAGTTAGTAATGGTACAGTATAGAAAAGACAGAGCTATGTACTTCTTGGAGATGCACAGTGTAGAATGAGGAACACTGAGCAAAAAATGCAAGAGGGGCAAATTCCAGTTCGATTTTTGGAAGGAAAGATTCGCATTGATCAGACAGTGAATAGTTTGACCAGTGGCAGTGTGCAGTCTCCACTCCTGGGAATGGTCAGAACTTTATGAGTTATGAGCAACCTGATCTAACTTCAGAGTTAGATTTGTTATCAAGGCTAGTCCTGCTCTGAGAAGCAGGTTGGACCAGATGGTGTCTGGAGATCTTTTATACTTAAATTATACCATGATTCTAATTAGCTGGCTCCTATTCCCCAGTTAGATGATCAGTGTTGGTTAGGGCAATGAGTGATGAGTATGCACATGCCCACAGTTGGGGAAAAAGTGGAGCAGCTACCATTTCTCCTTTGTAGTATCATAAAACAATCAATTTCCTAATACCTATTTAGCAAAATGGTAAATTGTTAAGACTCAAAACTGCCAGGTAACAAATGGAAAAAAATAAATTTAGTAAGCAAATGAATATCATAATCAACAAACTTTTTTTTCTTTTTTTTTTTTTAAATATAGTGCTTAACAGAGCCTTAGACTATGGCTCTTGTGTAGTAGTGTCGTACATTTCTGTAACCATAATCCTGAAACCACTAATAACGATCCAGTAGTCACTGTGGTAGTTCCAGCATTTCTTGGGTTTATGTATTGGGAATACTGTGTTTTAAAAAGTCTGACTTTAGAAATTTCACCTTTTAAAAATCAGTCAAAGTAACTTTGCAAAGGAATGTCTTAAAGCTGTTTTATTTGTTGTTTTCTTACTGTGTTGGGGTTTTTTTTCTAATTTTATTTTTCATGGTGCTCACTGTCTAGATTACAAAGAGATATGGCTGACTGGAACAAATGGGACCGGCATTGGTCAGTTCAAGATTCCTCACAGTGTAACAGTGGATCCTTTTGGACGGGTAAAGAATAAAGGGATATTTTTTTTCATCTTCCAACAGACTTGTTTACATGTATTTGAACAAAACGAATTGTATTTTTTAATTGAACTGTTGTGATCTGGGTCATTTTATGGGGGTTACAGTTTTCAGTCTGATAGTGCTCATGAGCTGAAGTTTCATACTGCAGATTCTACTTAAGTAGCTGGCTCCAAGGTTAACACAGGGATTCTGACCGGTTACATTGTCAGTGTCCATGCAACAGCAGACTGTTCCTCCTGCAGTTTCTAACAGGTTGCCATTGTAAGAGTACAGGAGAATTATGTTCTGTAATAAATATCTACCCAAGCACTTACATTTCTACAGGGCATTTGAATTTCATGTTTGTAAATTCCAAATAAGCTTAAGAAGATAGTAGGGCTCTAGTTGGATGTCATTCCCTTTCTACATGCAGATCGTGGCTTTCAGTAGTCTTACTTCTTCTGCCAGGTGGTAATTGTAGTCTGGCTTTTGCTGTGCTGCTCATGTAGAGGAATTACGCAGTCGCTCCTTAATCTGCTTCAGGGAAAATAAGACTGCTTGAGTAAAACATCCTAAATCATTGGTTTGAGCTAATTCTGAACCGGAATAAGAAGTGTATATAAAAATTACTTCTCTGCCAAAACTGGCAGGATGGGAGGGAGAAGGGGAGGGACATGGTTGCTTTACGTTGAAGGGTCATTCACTGTGACTATATACATTCAAAGACACCAGCTGTGGTGGGTTACAATTCTGTTGCCAATGTAGTGTTGATTATCAGCCTAGGTTAAAATTATCTGTTAATTCCTAAGAAAGCTAAGAGAATGCTATAGTAGTGTTTCATTTAAAAATAGTGATGGAAGATCTCAGGTCAGCTTTTTTATTGCTCCCTTTTGGGTGATATGTGAGAAAAGTCATGAAGTTTACTTATCAGACTGACGGGTTGTCAACAGCTAAAACTTCAGTGATTGTAGTAGAAGAGATACCTTCACTGGAACTGTCTAGTGGTATTGCTCACCTGCATTGTTTGTGAACCCAGTTAGCACAGGGTGGGACAGAGACAAGCTCCACAGTACTACTTAGACAAAACATGCTGAAAATGCTCTCAGTGTTTAAGTTGTTCAATATTTGTAGTAGTATTAGGCATATCAAGAGTGTTTGCAGATGCATTCATCATAGGCCTGGATCGTGAAATGAGACCACTGTTGAAAAACAAATTGTTAATGGGTGACAGACCAGTATCTTTAGAATTAAATAGGTGGGAATATGTCCTCACTGGGGGAGGAAAAATCCTACTAAATACGTCCATATCATAGCCACAGAAATTAAGAGAAGGCACTGATTTCTGTTAAAGTAGTATAAAATAGTTTATGTATATTAACTATGTGGCAGTTTTGTTTTATATCTGGAAGTCATATCTACTTACGTAGTTGTGAATGGGGAAGTACATTCTTCCAAGGTATACTTCTTTTTTGCTACAGGATACTTTGTTTGTGTAAGGAGCTAATGCATTTGATTTGTTCTATTTCTGAACAGCCATGATTTTTGTTCTTAACAGGTATGGGTTGCAGACAGAGACAACAAAAGAATCCAAGTTTTTGATAAAATCACAGGGGAATGGCTTGGGTCTTGGAGCAGCTGTTTTTCAGAAGATGGACCCTATTCTGTCAGGTATTGTTGAATAGTTGTAGAAGCATGCAATTACATGAATAAGGTGTACTCTTACTAGTGAATTAAAATGTTGATATTTAATGCCTGATGACAAGGACTTAACCAGTTAAACTCATAGGGTGCCGGACCCTAATCATATGCAAAGATCTGCAGAGCTGTATCTTGACAGGGAAATCCTGGCTTTATAACAAGCCCTATGGATTTGACTGCAGGACTAGGAACTTCATTTTAAAGTTGTTGTATGTTGATGACTTTTCTGTAGCATACTCTGTCTCAAGAAAGAGCAACATGTAGAGCAAGGCTTAAAAGTTAATTCTCAATGTTTCACTGCATTTAGTCCATCACAGCCTTCAAAAACGACCATGAAGGAGGTTTAGTTTGTTTAAAAGTGAATGGTTGTGTTAAAATGAGATGTCATATGGAGTTCATAATTCAAAAATGTATTTCTGTCTTTCACAGATTTACTGCCAATTACAAATACCTGATTGTAGCTCAGCTGAATATCAACCGGTTAGCCATCTTGGCAGCACCACCGGTTGGCTCTATTGGGGACTGTTTTATGGTCAGCACAGTCCAGCTGGCAGATGAAACCAAGCCGCACCTTGTGGATGTAGACAAGAAGAGTGGAGCAGTCTATGTCGCAGAGATTGGAGCCCAGCAAGTACAAAAATACATACCCTTAAGCTGATGGATTCCCACAACTGCCGTGGCCCAAGCAGTGTGATGCGTAAGACCTGTGACCACATTTCCTTGAATTCTCTGTAGCTTGTGTTTCCTTAGACAAGCACAGAACATCGTGCTCCCAGAACTCTAGAGCTAAGAATCTATTCTAGCTATTCTGCAGTCTGGAGAAGTACTTGAACTTGAGCTGTTACTCAGTTTAGTAATGCTGTGGTGGCTTTTGCTTTTGTTGCTGGCAATTGTAAAATGACTTTGATAAGCATCTTGATTTTATTATATAAAACATTACAGTCACAGCTGCTGTTCTTAAATCAACAGGATCATCTTGGGGCTTGTCTATTTAGCCTGTGTGTGTGGTGTTAAATAAAGGTGAACACTCTCTGAAAGAAGCGTATAAATGGTTTCCTAGGAGGCAAGCACCTCTTTTTAATGTTTCTTCACTTGTTTTTTTTATCGTCATGCTGATACTGCCCAACACTAAATATAGGGATACATTATGATGTTAAATAAGATGCTGCTGGATACTGGTGTCAGTGCTGATACTGGCATCTGCTTTAAGTAATTAATGACATAAGCATTGAAATCTAAGTTTTCAGCTCTAGCTAAAGTGGTAAAGTCTGTAATAAGCTTAAGTTAAATTGATACCAGGCACTTCAAACTAAATTAAAAGTATGTGCACAGCAGCCAAGTACTAATTCTTAACTAAATCAATTCTTAACCTGATTTGATTTATATCGGCATGAGTTTTCTGTTCCGTGAGATTTCATAGTGGAACGTATTGATGTTCAACTCATTTAAGGTCCTCAAGATAAACAAATTGCAATTTACTAGGAAAGCCATAATCAGCATTAAGGGCTGGGAGAAAAATTATTTTCTCCCAATTTCATTGAAGCTCTGTCAGTTAACAGCAGCGCATCTGATTTGGAGATTTTTAACTGTTTTATATCCAAAAAAACCCCTTCTATTATTGTCTAGAGTTAAGTTTCTTATGCTGTATCTTAGCAGATGTCTCCAAGCTCGATCCTAAAAAATGCCGTCTCTTTCCATTCCCGATGGTTCTGTTTTCTTTGCATGTTGCTACAGGATTTTAAGTTAGTTCACTTTATAGCATAGAGGGAACTGGGTAAAGGAAAATTGGATAGGGAAAATAGCGTGGCAGAAATGAGACAGTGACTGATTACCTCTGTAAAGCTGTGAACCCACATTCCATATTTATCTACTGGTTCTTGAAAATGTTTGGGACCATCTTTACTGTTTCCACACACTTATTTTACTGTGTGGACTGTTTTAATGCTAATTACGAGCCAAGAGAGGCAGGTTTTTTATATATTTCCTTAGAAAGGGAATATGGGAAATAGAATTATTCTGATGGGAAATACCCACTTCAGTGAATATTATCAAAAGAAAATGCTTCTTAATTTAACAAGTTTCAACCTCTGATCACGAATTTGTGGGTCAGTAGATGGAAAATCTGTTCAGAAAAGTCAGACTCATCTTTTCTGTGGAAAGTAACTCAGCTGTGGAGCCTGATGGCCTGATTTCAGTACTATTTAAGATTAATGCACTAAATGTGAATGCTTTGTTGTTGGCTACATCCACAGTAACAAAAGCAGCTCTTACTTGGCGGCTCACATACAAGCCTTAGAACCAAAACTTCAGGGTTAAACACTAATACAGTCGATCATTCACATAGCCTTGAAGGGGAGCTAGTAAGCAATATTTATTAGCTGAAAAAGTAGCAGCACTTCCTCTATACCTAGATGGATACGTCCACATTGCTTTGCAGTGTGTTGTGTGGATTTTTTAACTAGGTTTCCACAAGCTCAGGGATCTCTGCTCTGTGTACAGTTTAGCTATTTCTCACCTACACAAGGTGGATTTGTTTGTAAAAATATTACTGTAATACCAGTTACTATATTTGAGCATATCTTGGTGGTGTAAGGAGCCCAGGCACTCCATCCTTACTCACCATGTCCTCTCCTTATTTATTTTTCCTTCATCACATCCATTTGAAAGAGAACTTTAAGTTCTCTGGGAATGTGCTTCTGTGTTTAGTAAAGGAGTAGTGCACTTTTTAATGTTGACAAATAAAGTTATTTTTCCACATTTCTGTTTGCTGCATGGATCTGTTCTCAACTCTCCTTTTACGTGGGCTTTTGTAACCCCTAGAAGTGGGGAGCATTCATCCAGTTTTGTCTGGCTTTATTGCAAGAGGCCATGGTGCCAAAATGTGCCTTGCCTCTAGGCATTTGGGCATCTGTGATAAAAAGGGATGCTGATTATTAACTATTATGAGATGCTTATCCTCCTTTTTACCTCTGCATCTATGCCAACTGCGGAAATAATTGATTTGTGCGCTAACTTGCTAATTCTCTGAAGATTTTCTTATGCATCATGTTGAAATGGAATTCTGAAAAATTGCAAATAAATTGAGAATTTCCCATTATGAAAGGCTTGGGCGCTTTATTTCTGTACTAATATCAATACATTCTGTTGCAATGGATTACTTTTCCAAATATGGGGTCCTCAGCACTTTAATAAGGTATTTATTAATTTCTGATACCAACGTTCAAATGTAATCTAAAATTCCATGTTATCTTTATACATTACTATTTCTGTGGCCCATCTCTTTTTGCATTCTAATTTATGTATCAAGAAAGGCACATAAATATCTCCCAGATGTTTTCCTCCAAGTAATTAGTAAAATGCGATGATGAGTTACATAAGTGCCAAGAATTAAAAAAATATTTAAACTGTATACCCTTTTGATGCTAATGGGGAAATTAAAAGGAAACTAACAAAACACTTCTTAACATAGAATCAGGTTATTTTCGGGAAAGATTTGTCAAGGAATCTGTTTACTTTTTAGAAGACCAAGAAGGGACTTCTCTGTGGGATTAGAAATACTTGCACAAGAAGAAAAATAACATGCTACAGTGTTAACTAGACAAGAAAGAAAACCTAAGACCATTGCTAGAACCCCCAAAAAATCTATTTTTAGTTAGTAAGTGACACCTTTTAAATGTGAGAAATAATCACTGGAGTATCCAAGTCAAGGAAATAGGAATATTCCATGTTTTGGTATCTCTAACTTTGCAGACTTTTGGGGGTTTTTTTATTTGATCTTTGGGTAAGTACCTAGATCATTAACTGGGTGACATTCCCAGGAGGTAAAACCACGTCTTGTAGTCCTCTCTCTTCTAACATCTCTAATGCTATCATCTTGATTTTTATGACTAGCCTTTTGGGTGGGGGGATGTGTTACGTAGTCAGCAATTTATTAACAATATCTATGTGGCCAGAACAAAAGAAGCCTGAATCAAGTTTGTGCCATGCAAGATCTGTTTAATGAGGCTGAACTGTCTCAATAAAAGATGAAGGGGAAGGTCCACAAGTATGTCTGTGGTTCTGGACGTTACTCTAAGTTTACTGCCTTGAAGTGGTCCATTAACCTTTTTGAAGCATTAAGTAGTTATCTTAGTTGACACTTTTTAAGCGATTTGTAACCTGAGAAGCCTTCACTAATGATCTGTCACCGTGTTTGCACTCACTGAAGTTGCTTGTGTAAAACATAAGAGGGCACCAAACCCTTGCTGATGCTTGGCATACTCAGTGTAACTGTATCCTACAAATGTAAACAGCTGGTAATTTCTGAACGGTGGAGTAAGTGAACAAAGATAATGGCTTGCTCCAGACTTTCTTTCTCTTTTCAAAATAGATGGCTTCAAACACAAGCTGATAATTGTATTATAGTAATTCGGGCTATGACTACTGGATTTATATCTGTCTTTTATTTATTTCCATTGATTTTCTTAGGGAAAAAAATCAGTAATTCAATGTTCAGAGACAACTGAGTATGGTGAATTGATTCTTCTAGTCCTTCTATAATAGACCCTATGTCATTAATTTACTTCTGATATGTTGCATTGGAAACATAATTTATAGTAGTATAACTGTAGCAGCATAATTACACCAAGAGAGGAATGCCAGTATTATTTCTCTACAGAGGTGACCCTGACTGAGATTAGAGCTATGCTTACTGGATCTCATTCACAAATTTTATTCTACACCTCCTTTCTCAGACTTTGTCTAAAAACCGTGCTCCAATTTTGTGGGTTTGTTCTATTTTACTTGGGGGGGGGGATAGCATCTTCAAAATTGTATTTAACAACAGTTGCCATAAAAAAATCTGAACATGGACTTTTCTTCATGTAAGTGATTAAAAATATTTGAGTCAGCGTTCATAAAGCATCAAAGTCACATTGCTTGTATGAAATTTTAACGTAGGAGCATGTTAATATATACACACAGAATGATTTGTTACTACGTTAAAGCCAGAGTAACACTGATAGAAATGAGGTATTGAATAGACATACTTTATCATAAGATCACTTTTTGAGGCTGAGGAGACCAAATATCATTGTGTAACTGGATCTGCAAAACAGGTTAAAAACTTTGCCCAGTTACATCAGGAATAAGCCTAATAATTCTGTCTGGGCTATGATGGGATCTCTTACAAGCAACTTAAGAGTAAGAAATTTCTTGAATAACTAAGTCTATATATTTTAGTCCTTCCTAGGAGTCAGTAAACATCATTATAAAGGGAAGGCTTTGTGCTTAGTCTGGATTTCTTTGTCTTCAACTTCATGTTTTCTGTTTTCAGCTAGCTCAGAGACCTAATACGGAATTTTTTTTTATCCCCCATGGAGTCATTTACAGACGATAACTGAGTCATCTCTTGCTCCACTCCTTGTCTAAACTGTATAGACCGGAAAAATTGCCTTGCAGTGGAAAACTGGTAAGGCTTTCATTTCAAAATATTTTCATAGCACTTTTTAATAAAAACAAACAATCCAAAAGAATGTTTACCACGTGACAGGAAGTCTGGATGCTAGAACTTCCAGCACTAAACCTATCTGTATGCTGTATGGGAGTAATACTATCTCCTCATGACTTGATGTGGCTGGATTTGTTTCTGCTTCTAGTTCTCAGCACAGTACTGTCTCTGACTGTTATAAAGGATTTGGATGACTATGTGGTCAAGGTGTAAAGGAACTCTTCTGCAAGAATAAACCAGTATAGATACTGAGGGGGTTTTATCTGTGTCTGCTGTTGAAGTCCTTAGAAAACTTTCCATGCTGTCAGTGCTTTTTGACAGTTTCTTAATCAGAAGATCTGGCTGAAATTGAAGTGTCGGTAAATGGCTTATTAAAACAAACTGGTAATTTGCTATCAGGTGTTCATTTCATTAAGATCATTCAGTATTTTCAGAAGATTTCTGAAATATTAACTTCTGCTTAGAACTGCTTTAGTACCAGAGGAAAGAAGAAATGGCAAATAAAATTTAAAGAAAGAAAGGAAAAAGAAAACAAAACACAGAAAACCTCACACCTGTGTGTGAAGATTCTGTAGAGATCCAACAGAATTGATGGCTGTACCTCGCCAGTTGACATAAACCATAATGAAGGAGTAGATGTATTGGATACACAACCATGAAATCTGTTACAGGTCTTTGGAAGAATCTCTGATCATGTATGGCAGCATGTTCGAGCTAATAAATTTTGCTTAAATTTTCAAAAGGCTTTCAGTAGCATCTCTTGCCAAGTGTCCACAAAGAAATTGTGTGGAATAAAAAAGAAAGAATAATTATGGAAGACTAATTATTAAAGATTGTAAATTAAATATATTTAAAACTAGTTCTGTGCTGCTCATATAGGGATAAATCATCTGGAAATGGACTTGAGAAGCCAGGGACAGAATTTACTGACAATCCTAAACTACTCAGGCTTGACAGTAAAGAAAAAAGCTGCAAAGGGTTTCAGAAGGATATCATGAGATTGACTAAGGAGATGAGATGAGGATATCATGAGATGACATTATTGGGCAATAAAATAGCGAAAGGAGTATAACATGGATAAATATAAAATCAGGTACAATTAGTAAAAAGCTGTCTAATTTTATATATACACTATGATAGCTTTATAGGCTCATAAAAGATGGTTGTATGAAAATACCAGCTTCCAAACTCAGCAGCAGTCAGAAAACGAGGAG